AATGGCTTATGAAACAATAATGGGGAAGTATCTGTTCAGTTTAGCTCGGATCCTCTCTATTTTCCTGAATCTTATTGTAGTAATTAACATTTATATAGTTTATTAATGGTTACAAAGCAGTCTTACAGTTCTTTATTTGATCATTAAAATCATCTTGAGAGATTAGTAAACTAGGTATTATTGATATTTATATTGCAGGTGAAAAAAATAAAGTATCAATATTAATATTTTAAATGGTTTGCCCACAATCCCTAGGTCTAGCTTAGAAAAGTGTAAATAATAATCTAAGTTCTGTGCCAGCCCTTATTGTGGGCCTGGAACCTAGGTTTTTAGTCTCTGAGAGCAATTGGATTTAATTAAAATTCCCTTGAATAACATATTTGAACACAGAAGGTTTTTTAGGTATTTAGTTTGAAGACCATAATGCTAGAGATCTTCCCAGTTGTGAGATGATCATTGCCTAGGTTTACTTCCAGAATCAGACTCTATGCGTCGTTGTAAATACCTGGACCTTAGCGCATTCCACTGACCTCCGGTTAATACAGATAGCATTTAAATAGTTTTGCATGCCAGAAATTTGATATGATTTGGAGGGTGATATAAAAATATCATATCAGAATAAAACAAAATATTTTAAAGTTATTTATGAGACAAACTCAGAAAAATATGTTTGCATCACAAAGGTCTAAAAAAATCTAAGTGGAAGGAACTTGTTTGGATTAGCAAATGTTTTTATTTGAGAACTATAGATAACTTAGCCCAGAAACGCAATTACTTTGAATTACTCATTATCAAACTATGATGTTAGGTTTTTACCATTTCAAAAATATAGTCATATTTACAGGCAGACAATCTTTTCTATATAATTTGAATTGTTTTTAGCTTCTATCAAATAAAAATTGAATTATTATTCTCCTTCAGGAGCGTCATATTTTTTAATTTCTTTTCTTCCTTTCCATTTACTCTTTTTATTTAGTGACCAAACTTGGACCTAAATATGGTGAATTGTATATTTCTATGCAAATCCCTTAGGTTTAGGAAAATGAATAACTGGCTTGTGGTTTTCTTGGAGCCGGGCTGGCTGGTCTTTTTATCAGTGTCTGAATGTTACTGGTTAAATTCTTGGTCTTGGGGTTTGTAGAGAGAAATTAAGTTGATTCTAGTCCTTTTGAGCATTTTTCACTGCCAAGTAACCCCCAAGTAGGGTAGGAATAGACAAACTCTTCTGAAACCTATTGAACAGTAATTCTGACCTTCAGGGAGTCTCAGAATAAAACTAGTCTCTACATGATATGGGTCACAAATTTTCTAGGGTTATTCCATAGCATTGGCATGACTTCTAATGAGAGCAGGAGTTCCATAGGAAAAGTCCAGATTTTTAAAAATGACATGTTGAAAATTGTTTACTAATTTGGCTTGTTGCAGCCCATTTCAACCCGCCAACAGAAATAAGTTATGGACTAAGAACTGGAGAGAAAGGAAGAGAGATGGAGATTAAGTAGTTGAGGCCTACCAATATTTTATATCCTGACACTTAATAGTCCTTGGTATGGAGAACAGTGAACATTGTTTATTTCTGTCACTCCAGTGTATGTAGCACTATTTCTTCTGGCATTGAAGTTGTCAAAAGTGATAAGTAATATATAA